CCTCCTCCTCCTCCTCCTCCTCCTCCTCCTCTTGCTTCCCCTCCTGCTCCTGCTCCTGCTCCTGCTCCTGCTCCTGCTCCTGCTCCCGCTCCTGGTCCTGGTCCTGCTCCTGGTCCTGCTCCTGCTCCTGCTCCTGCTCCTGCTCCTGCTCCTGCTCCTGCTCCTCCTCCTCCTGCTCCTCCTCCTCCTCCTCCTCTTTTTCCCGGGCCGCGAAAGGCGACCGAGTTGCCACGAACTGTATCGAGGGGCCCAGATAGCGGGGGCCAGGCAGGGTATCGAGGCCACGGAGGCAGCGGCGGGGCCTTCAAATCCGACTGCGGCATCGCGAGGAGCAGCGAGGGGCAGCGGAACGGGCGAAAAACATCGAGGGGCGACTGCTGGCCTTACCGGGCGAGTCAGGCTGGCGGACCCTGACGGGCGGGTCGAGCGGACGGGTCGCGAATGCGTGAGTCCTGCGCAATTCGCCAGGGAGTTTCGGGCGAGAGCGCGATTCCCAAGCAAACGATCAGGAAGTCCAAGGCGCGAGCGCAATCCCTGAATGGCGAGAGCGTGGCGCGTTAGTAAATCGCGTGCCCCCCTGGGGTCTGGCGCATCTTGTCGCGTGACTTTCCCAGGCATACAGAGCTCGAGACGGACCGAGAGGGCCCCGAGACGCCCAAAGATCGCTCCAAGGCGTGCAAGATTGTCCCAAGACAGCCTAAGAGGCCTCCACAACACGCCCCAAGAGAGCCCCAAGAGCTTCCCCAAGACGGCCCCGAGATGCCACATTCATTGGTTTTCGATTGGTTTTTCAATGATTTTTGGGTCCTTGACTTTTCGAGCTCCCGATGCTCCAAGACGGCCCGAGAGGCCCCCAGGATCGCCCCATGATGGCCCAAGAGGCCACCAGGAGGGCCACAGAGGGCTCCAAGACGGCCCCAGAGGCGCCCAAGACGTTCAAAGAGGGCCCGAAGAATATGCGTGTGTGTCCCTACTCACCTCTCTCTCTCTCTTTCTCTCTCTTCCTCCTCTCCTCTCCCCCCAAGGTCCCTCATGCAAGTCCACACTCCTCGCCATTGCCATGCCTTCGCAACTTATCATCGAAATCTGGCCACGCCAAATGTCTGTGCAACTTTGGGACGACTCAAATAGCATGAAAGCCACATTTGGTTGCCTGTAGCTGCCCTCGCTCAACCCCACACTCGCCAACCTCTCCCCTAAACATGGCACGTCCTCCTACTCCTCCTCTTCCTCCTCCGCCTCCTCATCCTTTTTTATCCTCCTCCTCCAAGGCACGTCCAGATAAAGATCCCTGCGCCAAGAACGGGTATGATCCCCATGTGCTATCGCACTTCATGGTGTAAGGGTACGCCTCTGAATGGCGCAAGGCGATGAACAGATGCACTTATCAATATTGATTCTAGGAGAAGCATGGATCTAGACGTTGGTGGGTCAACAGAAACCTGACAAACCATAGCAACGATGGGGAACCACAGGA